TACAGTAAGCTGGGAGTAGAGACATGATCTAAGTTTCAGCTCTTCTACATGTTGACTTCCTCCTAGAGTCATTCCCCCTTCAGAGACCTGAAAAGAGTCTGACATAAGAGTTTTCTCCTTTGGTTTTTTTTTTTTGTTTGTTTGTTTGTTTGTTTGTTTTGGCTAGGCAATGGGGTTAAGTGACTTGCCCAGGGTCACACAGCTAGCAAGTGTTATGTGTCTGAGGCCGGACCTGAACTCAGGTCCTCCTTAATCCAGGGCCAGTGCTCTATCCCCGAGTTTTCTCCTTGGAAGCTAGAAAGCAGAAGACCAGGTTCTTTCCTCTCTCCAGCTCTCCCCAGCTCCACTCCTTATGCAGGTGAGTAGCACCAAGCAATTAATCTCTAGCAATGAGGATAGTTCCATGCAATGAGCACTTTGAACCAAGAGTTACAAATGAAACAAATGGACCAGGGAAATCTTCTTTCTCTATACTTCCCCCTCTTTCTCACTGCCCAGGGTTGGGCATGATTGTGGATTAAGCTGGTCCAGAGAGAATTTGGTCACAGCTATTATGTGTATGTGGGGCGGGGTGGGGGGAAGGATGACCTCTGGAGTAGCCCCTGCTCTATAGGTCACAATGCCTTCCCTCTCCCCTGGCAGTGCATGTCCCCAGAATGGCAGGCCCGATCGGGAGAAGGTGAGGAGTGGGGAGATTGGGGAGGGAGGAAAGGAACACAGGATTCCACAGTAATGACCGTGTTCCAGCAGAGCTGGGCCAGAATGTTGCTTGCTCCCTGTACTTGGCAAGGAGCTAATCTGCATCTCTAGGGCTGTCTGCACCCCAGGTCCCAGCTATCTTGGGTTCATTGTCCTCTTCCTCATAACTTTAGGTCCTACCCTACTTAGGTGCTGACACTGACACCTCTGTCCCCCATTTCTTCACCAGGTTCTTGTCTCCCCATCTCTGGTTATCTCCTTCAGGTCACTCTACTTCTTCCTATATTCCAAACCCTCTCCCCAGAGGTGCTCCCCACAAGGTCCCCCGGCTCTTTCTTCGGTCTCCAATTTCCCATTTCTCTCTTCCTCATCTCTGCTTCCTCATCCCTGTATCTCTGTCTCTCTCTCCTAACCCTGTCTCCTCCATCTCTACCTCTCTACCCCTGCCTCCCCAGCCCCATTTCCCCATCTGTCTCTTCTCCAGCCCTGTCTCCCTCATTCCTTCCACATCCGTCCCCCCAGAATCATTTCTTCTATTGTTATCTTCTTATCTCTGAGGCTGTATATTATAACGGGCAAGACCCTGGACTTAAGATTCTAAAAGACCTGGGCTCAAATCCTGCTTCAGATACTTAGTAGTTGTATGATCTTGGCGGTGTCATTATGCCTCATTTTCCTCATCTATAAAATAAGGGATTAGACTCAATGACCTTTAAGATCCCTTTCATTTATAAAGCTATGAACCTATGATCAATAATCTTCCCATCTCTACCTTACTTTCCTCCTTATCCATTTCTCCTCCTTCCTCAAGTCACTATTTCTATCTCTTCAACATCTGCATCATCCTCTTGGGCTTCTCAGCCACATTTTACATTATTATCTATTTTGCTCCTTCCAGATACCACTTTCTCCCTTGTTTTCTATGTTGCTGCTTTCTTCTGGCTTTCTCCTGTCTCTCTAACCATTCCTCTTATCTCAGGCTTCATAAACAGAAGCTTAGTATCCAGAACATGGGAGGCAAAAGCTCTTCTAGACAATGTCCTGGCTATTATCATATCTGGAATGTTAGATTCAATTCTGAACAACACATTTTGGGAAATGAGCCATTCACTGGCTCCTCATCTTCCTTTTACACCCATTTCCCCCAAGATTCTATCTTTAGCCCTCTTCTTTCTCTGTCTCTTTCTAGACAATTTCATCTACTTCTATGGTTCCATTATTACCACCTCTGTGTAGATAACATATATATTGTATAGATGATACCTATATCTATATAGTCATCCCTGATAGCTCCCTTGAGCTCCAGTCCAGCTGGCAGAGACATTACTAGCAATTTTTTTGCCTTGAGAAAGTGTTATGAAATAACATAACATCAAATCAACCTTCTAAGATAGATGTGGTTGTCAGGGTACAGACCTAGTATACTAAGAAGTTGCTGCTGAGTAGACCACCGCCCGAAGGGGATGTTCATCTGAGATGCAATAAGACCTAGCAAACTGGAGGAAGGGGTCACCTGGTAACTTACTATTTTAAATCATGATTCTTACTAACAAGATACTAAGTACCATCATTTCTATGCTCCTGAATGATTGCAAATGCTGTCAGTGCCCTGTAAATATTGGCACCCTGGGGCCGAATCTTGATCACCCTGCCCTAGTTCTATGTCTCTTCCTTTTGGACATCTTCCACAACGGTGCTCTTGTAGCCGATCAAACTCAACCTTAACTCTAACCTTTTCCTCAAACCCTGCCCCAGCTCATTCCTCTCTTTAAGTGCTCCATTGTTAACCAAGCAGTGTCAGAAAATGCATGAAAAGGCCTATCAGAAAGCAATGCAGCCAAGCTGGTATCCACAAATCCTTCATACAGATCTAGAAAATACACCTGACTGAATCTTGATGGAGAAATCCAGAAAAAGTCACAGTGAGTTCTTTGTCCATCCCAGATTGGTATAAGGAGACAAATAGAGAGGTCTGCTGATGCTAAGGACTGGGTCAGGCCAAGAATACATTCTACTCCAACTTCCAGGGAGATGCTGTGCACCAGGGCAAGAGGAGGTCCCAACCCAATAGGGATAGAAGTAAATTAGTACCTTTGTCACTCACTACCCAGTTCTGGGTCACAGATTCAGAGCAGACAGAGGAATAGTTAGGGCATTAATCCCAGGCCAAAGGGAAGGCTGACAATTCTGTCATTCTGAACCAACAGTGCTTTCCAACTGGCTGGTAAGGGTTGAATCCAGCAGCAATCTACTCTTGCATAGACCCAAACCCAGGTCAGGAACACGCAGAGCTCAGATGGGCGGGGTAGCAATCAAAATTTGCCCTGGATCAAACCACTCTGATAGCACTGAAAGCTTTCAGGTCCCCCAGCCTGTCCTTGAGATCCTGGAATAACACAAGAGTCCATGCCCCAAGAAAGCAGCAACAGGACCAGCCTAGACCTTCCCTGCAGAAGTGTGGCAGATGCCAGCTCTAATATCAAGTCTTAAATCAGGAAGCAGACTGGAAGAATGAGCAAACAAACAAACAAACAAAAAAAGAACCCTACCAAAATAAGCAGGGGTGCTCAATACACAAATGCAAAGCAATGACTCCAAAACATCTACAAACAATGCCACACAGGTTTGAGCAAAAACTCGAAAGAAAGATACCCAGTTTGAGCAAAAAAAAAAAAATTAGGGAGTCTAATTAGACAAGTCCTGGAGTGGTTCTGTTACATCTTAATGATCTTAAGAGAAGAATGGAAAGAGAGGGGAAGGGAAGGAAGGGATTTGGGGGGGGAGAAAAGAAGGTTAGGGAAAATTATGACACATAATTATGGTACACAGCAAATGTCTATACTTCAACCTTACCTTCATCAGAACTAGTTAAAGGAAGGAAGAATACACACAGAGTTGAGTAGAGAAATACATTTCATTCAACAAGGAAATAGGAAGGAAAGGGGAGAAGGGAAGGGGGGAATTTAGAGAAAGAGAAGATTAGGAGAGGGATTAGTTCTAAGCAAAACAAATGACTCTGAATTGGCTTTCCAGTCTTCATACTATTCCCCAACTCTCTATGATTCAGGCCAATTGAATCACTAGCTGTTCCCTGATGGCATCTTGTCCTCCTCCCCGTCCTCTCTGTACTTCTGCTTCAGCCATGTACTTTGCCTAGAGCAGCTGCTCCCTCCAACCTGCAACCCCCCAACTATTTCTATCCTTCAAGACCCAACTCTTAGGGTCTCCTCCTTCAGGAAGCCTTCCTTCATAATCTCATCCCCCTCATCCCCAGGAAAATGATTTATTTCTCATCAAATTTCTCATGTCACTTTGCCTGGACTTCTTAGGTCTTATCTCCTCCTCCTTTTGACCATGGTTATTTGTGTATATTTCCCAAGTCCGCATTAGATTGTTAGCTTCTTGGACCCATGATGAAAAATGCTCTCCACCTCCAGAGAGAGACGGCTGATGAACTCTAAGGGCAGATTGAAGTATACTTGTTTCACTTTATATTTATTTTCTTTTTTTTTCAACATGGCTAATATGGAAATAGGTTTTGCATGACTTCACATGTATAGTGGATGTCATATTGTTTTCCTTCTTAATGGGTGGGAGAGGGACAAGAGGGAGGGAGAGAATTTGAAAATAAATTTTATAAAAATAAATGTTAAAAATAAATTTTCTAAAGAGATTATAAGCTTCTTGAAGGCAGGGCATATGTCTTATCACCAATGCTTAGTGCAGCGCTTTGTACATAGTGGGTGCTCTATCAGTATTTTTCTGTTGGATTGAGATGTTTCCTGTTTCTCTCTCCTCCATTTTTCTTTCCCCGTCTCTGTATTCCTATCCCTTCTCCCTTATTTTGGCCTGTTCCGTTCCAAAGATCATTCTTTCTTGGTAGGGAAAAAAGAAGCAAAAGAAAACTCAAGTAGTTCTTCCTCTCCTCTGTTGTCAGTTATTATCTTATTCCTCCTTGGAATTTCCTTTTTTCCCCAGCATAGATAAGAATGCTTGAGTTGTTCATCTCAGAATTTTCCCTAGTCCTTTGCTCTTTTGGATTTTCAACTTCCTCACACCTTTTTTAAAAATGGAATTATTTTAGGGGCAGCTAGGTGGTGCAGTGGATAGAGCACCAGCCTTGGAGTCAGGAGGACCTGAGTTCAAATCCGGCCTCAGACACTTACTAACTGTGTGACCCTGGGCAAGTCACTTAACCCCATTGCCTAGCCAAAAAAATGGATTTGTTTTGTGTTCTTCCTCTCTTACCCATCCCTATCTCCTATCTCTATTTCCTCAGGAACCCTGTCCTTACAGATCGAATGGGTCCTGCTGGGGGCCGGGGCCTCGAAGCTGGCGAGGGTCCTGAGCTTTTGGAGGGCCATGGCATGCCTCTGAGGAGTCCGCTCACCCTCTTGGACGGGGCCCTGGGCCTGGGTATACTAGGACTCGGTGCTCGCCTTGTCCTGGCCCTGGCTGGACCAGGCATGATGCTGCTGCTGCTATTTCTAATGTTGAGTTTCCTGATTTTCGACCTTGTGCATGGGTAAGGGGGCTAGACTCCTGGGTCTCTCTGCGCCAGAGAAGGTCTCTTTGGCCTCAGCCTCACCGCGGGTTCTCCTTTTCTTGTAGACCCCTGGAGTTGCCTCTGCCTCAAAGACCAACGTTTAGACCCCTTGGAGCGGGGGGTGAGGGCCCCCACTTACAAGAACCATTGCTCCCACCTACCCTGAGCCAAGTCCTGGACGGATTCCTGCTCTTCACCGGCCTCGGGCTCATCTTCGGGGCCCTGATGCCCTTCAGTATCTTCAGCCTCATAGTCGGCCTACAGGCTCTGGCCTGAAGCAAAGCCTCTGTTCTCCAGGAACCAGCAGGTTAAAAGAGCCTTCTCACAGAAAATACATGAGGATTGTCCCAGCCTCTGCCTCTGAATTTCCTTTCCTGCTGTCTTTGGGCCACCCGGGATGAGTTACCCGGAAAGAGGGTCCCTAACTAGTTCTATGTCCCAGGATTTGAGAACTTGAGTCCGAGTGGCCCCTATTCTACTCAGCAGATTAAACCTCGGCTCCTCAGTTAAGAGCCACGCACCAGAGGCGCTGTAAGGAGGATGTTGGATCCCTTCTGCCTACAATTAGAATCTTAGGATTTAGAGCTCAAAAGGGCCTTTAGAGATCGTTTGGTCCAGCCTCTCATTTTATAGTGGAACAAACTGAGACTCGGGGAGGCACTGTTTACCAGTACACAGGGAATAAGTAGCAAAACTCCATGAATTTGAAGAGTCCAAGAGTTTGAGGGCATGGGTCATGGGTCAGAAGGTAGAGCCCCCAGTAACTTTAACCCTGGCGGAGGAATAGGAGGTTAGGGAGAACAGGGAGATGCAGAAGCCTGCTTCGGCGCTGGCCCTATCTTATGATCTCTGAGGAGGGAGGATCTGGAGAGATAATTCTATGACAGCTTCATCTTCAGCCCGCTGGCTAAATCAAGAAGGATGTAGGTCAGACCTCGGGCAGGCTTTTTGGCCAGGAAGTGTTTAGAAACCAGGGAATAGGAGAGAGGGGGGAGATGGGGTGAAATTCCCTTCCTTGGAAACAAAATCACATAGCAAGGAATTAGCTCGGAGTTCATCTAGTCCAAACCTTTCATTTTACTGAGGGAGAAACTGAGGCCCAGAGGAGTTATTACAGTACTAAGATAGATCTTGGTCCAGAGAGCCCCTTCTGTCTGGAGGTTCCTGCAGTTTGTGCCTTCGATGGGCAAAAGACTTTAACTTTTTTTTTTTTTTTGAAGATACTCTGTCTTTGTTTTGTTTTGCCAAAGAATGCTGGCTCCTGGGCCCTAGATAAGGAAAGAAAAAAAGACAGGGACTAGAGCCTGGACTCTGGGGTCTAATGGGCTCTGTTCTCTGTGGCCCTGTCCAACCCCTCCCCCAAAGCCCGGGTCACAATGGGGTCCCTGGGGTAGGGTGGAGATGGGGAGGCTGGGAGCCAGGTTGCAGGGGTTCCTTCCCAGCTCTGTATAGAGAGCTGATGGTGGCGACATGACCGAGGCTGCTCTGCTGGGAGGTGAGTTTAGCCCCACAGTGGTTCTGGTGTGTTTCTCCCTTTCCATTCCCTCTATGGTCCCAGCCCCTCTCCTCCCTCTTCACCCTTGTCTCCTTATCTCTTTTCTGTTTCCTCCCTGGTCCTCTCTCTTGGGTCTTCCTCTCACTTGCCTGGTTTTGACTTTTGTCCCTTGCCCTCCAGACCAGAGGAGTGTTGTAGATGTGTACGTGTAGCTAAATTCTAGTAAAGCATTTGACAAAGTCTCTTATTTGATTCCTGGAGCCATCATGGAAAGATGTGAGCTAGATGATAAAACAAATGAAATTGGGAAAGGGGAGACTTTAGTCTTTAAGCAGACATTGTTGACTTGAGTTTTCATCTCTAGCCCAGTGCCCCAGGGATCTGTGCTATTTAACATTTTTATCAAGTCTGATGCTGTGAAAGTCAGAGATTGCTAACATTGGATGATAGTACCCAAAGTGCTCTAACCCAACCAAAATGTTGGCCCAGATCTAAGCAGATAAAATTTAATAAGAATAAACCAAGTTCTACAGTTTGGGTTCAAAACATCAGTTTCTTTAGTATAGGATAGGTGAGTAATGGCTAGATTGCTAATGTTCCACTGATTCCATTTTCATTAATATGGGTAGTTCCACATTAGGACTCCATTGGGATCCATGCTCATCAATGTGTGGATCACAAGTCATCCATGCATTCATATCCTTGCTCATGACTGCACAACTCTTACCCCATGTCCTCACAAAAATCCACTACAGCAAGGTCATCCGGTGTCCTGGGAGCCCTCTGAGCTCTCATTCTCTTGACATTACCTGGATACTAAGACAGCATATCTGTCGGCTATATGTCATCCCTCACCTTTACTGTGCAACAGGCTCATCTTTTTTTCCAGTTATACATATCTCTTTTAGATCAAATGTTATTTAGTTAGTCTTCAGTAATATTCTGGACTCGGGAGGGGTAAAGGATTAGATTTGTAGGAAGATCACCATGGGACTCAGGCTAGAACCATGCCACTGTTCCCACGAGCCTGTCTGTCATCTTTGCCCAGCTCAGTATGGTTCTGTTGAGTTTGTCACCAGCCAGCGTGTCAGTAAGCATTCATTAAGCATGTACGATATATGTGTCAGGCTCTGTGCTATCTACAGATACTATGAAAGGCAAAAAACAGTCCCTCCCCTTAAGGAGTGCACAGTCTGATGGGAGATCCCAGGCAAACAAATATGTACAAACAAGCTGTGGACAGGATAAATAGGGAATGACTAAGACAGGTAGACATTAAAATAAAGGGGGATCTGGAAAGTTTTCCTGTAGAAGCTGAGATTTTAGTTGGGACTTAAAGGAAGCCAGGGAAGACAGGAGATAAGGAGGGAGAACATTCCAGAGATGGGGCACAGGAAAAGGAAAATACCTGCAGTCAAGAGATGGAGGTGGTACAGCGGATAAAGCACTGGCTCTGGAGTCAGGAAGACTTGAGTTCAAATCCAGTCTCAGACAAGACACTTGACACTAGCTGTGTGACCTTGGGCAAGTCACTTAACCCCAATTGCCTTGCCAAAAAAAAAAAAAGGAGAGAGATGGAGCGTCTTTTTTGTGGAACAGCCAGGAGGCCAGTGTCACTGGATCAAAGAGTAATGGGCAGGGTGTAAATTGTAAGAAGACTGGAAAGGTGGGAGGGAGCTGGGTTATAAAGGCTTTGAATGACAAACAGAGGATTTTGTATTTGATTCTAGAGGTGATAGGAAGCCATTGGAGTTTATTGAGTAGGTGGGGGGTGACATGGTCAAACTCTAGGTCAAATTTTGGGAAAATCACTTTAGCAGCTGAATTGAGGATGGCCCAGAATGGAGAGAAATTTGTGGAAGGCAGACTGACTGGCAGGTCATTGCAATAATCCAGGCATGAGGCAATGAGGGTCTGTCCCAGAGTGGAGGCAGAGTCAGAGGAGAGAAGGAGGCATACTTGAAAGAGTGTCTGTGTTGTTCTCTGCCTTGTGTATGGGCACATCTCTCACCAAAATGGCCTCCAGGCTTATGCCAAGCCCAATGTCCACTCTTCACTCTGACTTTTAGTCTGCAAAAATGGCCTTAGGCCACAGCCTTGCAGGCATCTTGAGATTCTAGGAGTCCTGTCTCCAGCAGGCCTCCAAGATCTAATTGAATATTTCTCTTATGAAATCTTTTATGCTGCTTCTCTTTTGTAATGGCATGTCACTTTGTTCATGCCCACCATGTACTCCAAAGGCTAGGTAACCACTTTTGTGGAAAAGGTCTGGGGCTGTTAGTGGCTTCATAATCAAAAATATGTCAAAAGTGTGATCTGGCAGCAAAACAAAACCTATAAATGCCTTAATGGTCAATTCAACCAACACACACTTATTACACACCTACACTGTGCAAGGTGATGGAGAAACCTAGCCAGAAATCAAATAATTGTTACTACTACAGGGTAAAGGGTGGATACGATATGTAGATGCAAAGCAATCTGAAAAGAAAGAGCACTCATTACCTGGAGAAGTAGCCAAGGTCGTATGTAGCATGTGGCACCTGCAATGAGCCTTGAAGAGGAAGCTAAGCATTCTAAGAGATGGAGAAGATGAGGGAGTGTATTCTAGACATGAGTGACACGTATAAAGGGCCCAGAGGAAGGAGATGGAGCTCAGAGAGCAGTTAGGCTATCCCAGACTACATTTAGAGAAGGGAGGGATGAGTTATTCCTCTTTTCATTCATCACAATCAGACCACACCTGTGAGATTGCATTCAGTTCTGGGTGCCACATTTTATGAAAGATATGACAAGCAATATAGTTTTGAGGAATAATCTACAATATATTATTACCAATGGGAAATTGCTTAGAAGTGGCAGAAAATAAAAACAACTCTTGAATTTTCACCTTATATCCATTAGATTGGCAAAAATGACAAAAGATAAAAATGTTGGAGGGACTGCGAGAAGACAAGGATATGAATACATTTGGAATTGTGAATCGGTCCAACTATTCTGGAAAACAATTTGGAATTGGATTAAAAAAATCACTAAATTGTGCATATCCTTTGACCCAGTGGTGTTATTACTAGGCGTATGCCCCTGATGCCAAAGACAGAGGAGGTCATATATATACAGAAATAGTTATGGTAAAAAGTTTAGTAGTAGCAAGAAACTGGAAAGTGTGTGTCCACTGATTAGAGAATGGATGAACAGATTGTGGTATCTTGAGTATGATTGTGCCATCAAACATAATACGAAGATTTGTATGATTCAGACCAGAGCAGAACTAGGAAAACAATATACACGATCATCAGACTAATGCAATGGAAAATAACACTGAGAGACTTCAGAACATTGATAAATGAAGTGACCAATTGTAACTTTAGATGACTGACTTCAAAGTATGCCACCTGCCTCCTGGACAAGAGAAAGACAACATAGGTCCAGGACAATGACATTTTCAGACATTGACAATGCATGAGCTTGTTTTGCATGATTGTACATTTTTTTTTAACAGAGGTTTCTGTGGGGGAGATGGTCGTCGAGAAGTAATAGGGATGCAAAAAAAAAAAAGAAAAAGTGCATCAACAAAAGTTAAAAATTAAAATAACAATTAAAAATGAGAAGTGGTAGAAAGGATATCATAAGAGACATGTATGAATGGAAGGAGATGTGGGCTGGTCCAATGGTGGAAATGGACAATGTGTATAATACTCCATTGCTATGCACACAATGTCACAATAGCTAAAGGAAGACCCCCCCAACCAATATACTGAGTGGACCTCCTGAGAAGAGCCAATAGGAAGATACATACGAGTCACATAGGGTGAAAAGATATAGATTGTAATATGGACAATTGGAGGGAGGACCACATCAAAGGGATCAGAGAGCCATCCAGTATGGGCACATTTAGAGACCATGCAGTGAGCAGAGGGCAACCAGTATAATAAAGGGTCTTGAAACCAAACCATATGAAGACTGGTTGAAGGAAATGGGAAAGACAGAAGACAGGACCTAGGGAAAATGTGATAGCTGTCTTTATTTGTCTTTGAATTTGAAAACTAATCATGTAGAACTGGAATTCGATATGTCTGTTTAACACCAGAAAGGGAAGCAATGGATAGAAATTACAGAAAGCTTTATTGAGGCTCATTACAAAGAAAGACTTCCGAAAATCAGAGCCATCCAAATGTAGAACTGACTGTCTCAGGAGGTAGTGGGTTCTAATTTGAAGTCTTCAAGCGAAGTTTGACTGGATGGCCACTTGTCAGGGATGTTGTAGAGAGAATTACTCTTAGAGTCTATGATTCTGTCTCCTTCCCAACCCCAACCCCATCTTCTGTCTCCTCAGGTTCATGTTTCTATTCTCTTGATTTGGCTCCTTTTCTTCTCCCCTCCCTTCTCATGTTCCCTCCCCTGGTACCTATCTCATTATCCCTTCCTGGGCCCATTTCCCTAGCTCTCAACTCCCCTGACCCCTCCCTTTGCCTTCTATATCTTTGGTCTCTTCTTTGGTCCAACCCATCCTGCCTCCCATCTCTTTCCTTGTTTCCTTCCTTATTCTCTTCTATCTCAACTTCTGTAATTAAATACTGGGATCCCAGAACCCACCTGCTTTCCTAGAGCAGTTTAAAGAATTTCTAGGAGCCCAACACTCCATGATTCCTGGAGGAACAGTTAGAGGGGGGCTTCTCCTGGGTTGCTGGGTTTCCCCTACATTCACAGAACAAAGTCCAATCAGAGTCAGACAAGTCATCAAGGAAAGAAGTAGCAGAGCAAACCTATATTGAGAGGCAAAGGCAATGACCAGACATTGCATCCAGTCTACGCTTGCTTCCTCCCCCCAGCCTCTGTCTCTGACTCCCTTTCCCTTCATCTACTTTCCCAGTCGTATGGGAGCTGGTTCCAAGTTTCTGCCAATACTTTAAGGATCTGTAGCTACTTTCTCTGCTGATGTAGCTGATACAGACTGCAACCCTTCCCTACCTTGGTATATGGTCCCTCTAGACTGCTGTCTTCCCAAACACTGAAGCACTGGCCAACCTTCTCAGATGATGAGCCTCTCCACAGTTTGCTAGGGAGGGCTTGCTTTATTCTGCTCTAGTCTTCCAGAGCCCTGCTTTACCTCCCTGATGGGGCACCGGAGAAAAACTTCTGAACTCTCAACTAACCCCAGCAGCAACAGGGATCTGGGGTGGTTCCTCTAGGTTAGAAGCCTACAAAAGATGAAGAATCTCAGCCTTCAGCCTTGGCTTCTCAGGCTTCATCAGCTCCTGCCACAAAGGGAGAACCAGGGAACCTTTGCCCTGGGCCCCAAAGCTTTTACTTTTCCCTCCTTTCCAAATCCTTCTGATCTTTGACTCTCCCTAAGCTCTCTGATCCTCCTCTACACACACACACACACACACACACACACACACACTCACATATCATAGATTACACTTTAGATTTGCCTCCAAGACTATCCACTGACCAGATGTTTTTGAAAGTCCCCATGTTAGAGATCTTGCACTTAGGGCTGGGTGGTTGGAGGCAGGCAAGGCTCCAAGGAAGACCTGCAGGGTTCCTCATTCCCTGGCCTCTAATGACAACTGTTCCCAGGTGGGGATCCTGAGACCAGGGCATCTGCAGGCCCTTTCTCCAAGCTCCCAGCCAGGGGCCAAATCACGACCTCTTCTTCACAGCTGGGCTTGGCAACTGGCACCTCTGCCCCACGGGGTCCTGGATCCCTCAGCCTCCTCCACCCTGCTCTGACCAAGGAACTAATGAAACTGCTCCTTCTCCCACTCCTTCAAGTAAGCAAGATTCCCCCCAGGGCATTTCATTACCAGAGAGTTCTCTCCCCTTCCCCTTTCCTATCTTTTCCTTCCTCTCTCTTCTCCTTCCTCCCCTCGAGCCTCACTACTTTGGGATCATTTCCTGTCGCTCCCCGATACTTTGAGACCATAAACCTCTCCCCAGGCGGTGCTTTGGGATCATTCCCTATGGCTTAGAATCAGCTCCTTATTCCCCCTAGGCTATAGAATCAACCCTCTTGCAATTTAGCGACTCGGATGTCACTCAGCTCTCCCTCAAGTTCTTTCGGATCACTCGGCATACCCTTTTTTTCACCATTCCCTGCCGGTAGGTGCTTTGGGATCCCTCCTCCCTCGGTACTTTGGCCTCACCACCTGCTGCTCATACTTCCATTCAGCTCTCCGCTCTTTGGGATGTTCTTCCTTTAGATATGTTCGGAACGCCAGTCTTCCCCACTAGGCGCTTGGGGATCATAGCCCCTCCCCTTACCCCTCCCCCGCAGGTGCACCGGGTAGATGCAGCGGACCAGAACCGAGGGGTCAACCGACCAAGCGGGAGCGGGAGAAGGCTTGAGGAGTAACTGGCGGGACTGGGCTCTGTGGCGAGCTTTGGAGCAGTGGTGGGACGGCCCAGACGGAGTTCGCCGACGCTTGTCGGCCTGGTGCTCTTCGTCCTCCTGGTGGGTGCCCTTGCAGCGGGGCCTGTGGCTGCTCGAAACCGGCCTCTACCTGCTGCTGTGCCTGGGCCTGTGCCACGCCCTCTTCACCACGGGATGCCACCTGCTGCGCTCGCTCTTTCCTGTAGTGGCCGCGATATGGAAGCATCTTCTGCCAGCGCTGCTCCTCATGGCCTTGAGCGCGCTGCCCGCCCTGCTTTTTGCTGCCTCCTTCCTACTGCTCCTCTCCACCCTACTCAGCCTGCTGGGGCTACTGACCGGCATGACCAGGCCTGGACCTGTCATCAGTCTCCATTCCGGCCTCGACCCTGGCCCCAGGCCCATCTAAGATAAGGGATCATCAGCTGCCCCCAACACTGCCCCCAATCCAGCCTTGGCCTCGAACCCGTCCTCAACCCCATCCAATACAAGGGACGGGCTTTGTCCCCTGCCACCACCCCTGGCCTGGCCTGTCTGTTCTGTCTAGGTTGGATTCAGGGGTCCCCCTCGCTACCTTCACTTCAGCCTCCTGCCTATGTTGGCCCAATCACACCCGGGAATCCCCACCCTGCCCAGCCTCTAAGTCCAGGACCTACCCTGTCTTCCTGGTCTATTGAGTCTCAGAAGTCCTGACTTTCCTGGATTCCCATCCGATAACCCCATACCACTTTCACTGGACCCAGGAGTCCAGAGCCCTGAGTTTGGAGTCGGAACACCTTGGTTTAAACCCTCTGTTCCTTACCTGTGTGACTGACTTTGGGCAGGTTACTATACTTTCCTGGGTCTTGGTTACCTTATCAGTAAAACAAGAAGGTTGGACTAGGTGATCTCTAACGTCCCTTCCAACTCTAAGCTGTACAACACAATGACCTTCTCCCTTTCTCATGGTCTCAGCCCATCTCAATTTTTTTTTTAGGCAATTGGGGTTAAGTGACTTGCTCAGGGTCACACAGCTAGTGAATGTCAAGTGTTTGGTCTGAGGTCAGATTTGAACTCAGGTCCTCCTGACTTCAGAGCTGGTCCACTGTGCCATGTAGCTGCCCAAGCCCATCTCAATTTGACTCAGAAATTCCCACCCCTTGGCCTGTGCTCTATGGTCTTCCATCTGAGCTACACTCAGAAGCTTCAGCCTGGGGCAGCTAGGTAGCGCAGTGGATAGAGCACCAGCCCTGGATTCAGGAGGACCTGAGCTCAAATCCAGACTCAGACACATAACACTTACTAGCTGTGTGACCCTGGGCAAGTCACTTAACCCCACTGCCTAGCAAAAAAAAACAAAAAACAAAAAAAACCCAGAAGCTTCAGCCTGGAGGGGCCAACTGGGCTCTGGGTTGGATGGGAGAAGAGTTACTGAGGTCAAGGCATCTTCTTCCCAGAGGCAAAGGACAGAGAAGTGGAGGCCCTAAAAAGAGGCAGTTAGGCATAGACAAGATTCTGGGGCTCTAAGAAATCAGGACAGAACCCATCATCTCCTCGTGCATGGGACCTTCCCATTTAGAGTGAGAATAAGCAGAGAAGTGGAAGCAATGCCTTCAGGGCCCGATCCAGAGTCCAGTCTAGAGCCAACACTCCAGACCTGAGTGTGAGGGGCTGTGCATAATAGGCCAGTGTGAGAAATGGGGCCTGACCCCAGGTGTGATGACCTGGGTAAGATAGGCTGGGATGGGGATATTGGGGGGAAGCTAGGTATGAGGGTTTGAGTACAATGGGAATGGTTATGAGGGGCCAAATTTAAGAAACTGGGAGAACCAAATGGAAACATGTCCTCTTCCTGTTTCCTTTTACCAGCCTCCAGGCTGAGGTTCTCTTCACCTCTGTACTTCTGTTTCCTCTCCATGGCTCTCCCTTCCATGACTTGTTTCAGGATTTTTACCAATGATCTTCAATCCCATAGGTACTCCAGCTTTTGCCCTCATGTTCTCAGCCCTATCTACACCATCTCCAATGTAAGCTTAATCCTGAGCTCAGCTTTCCTGTTGGTTGCTGGGGAGATGGATGGAATGTTATCTTCTGGATTTTATTGATGGGCAGCAGAATAGGGCAGACCTGGCTTATCCAAGGACCAGAAGGATGGGCACAGCAGGAAATCACTCTAGGTCCTGGTTAAAGAAAATAAAGTCTATGCACGTGGTTTCAGGTTCCTTTACACTTATTAATCACCTGTTTGATAAAGAGGACGATGTTAGACCCTACGGGTGATACAAAGTTTAGATAAAACATCTCTACTCTCATGGAGCTTACAGTCTAATGAGAGGATGACACCAAATTTAATTATAAATAGCTATAATATACAATATTCAGTTCCTTCAACTTTGTAGACATCACAGTTTCACATTATTCTCCTCTGGATATCCTACAGCTTGAAAATGTTCTTTATAAAATGTGTTCACTGTGGGCAGCTAGGTGGCACAGTGGATAGAGCCTACCATTTTCAGAAGAGGGAAGGGAAGAGAGGGAGAGAGGGAGAAAAAATTAGAACTAAAAACTTGTAAAAATGAATGCTAAAAATTTTCTTAACATGTAACTGGAAGGAAAATACTATTAAAAATAAAAAATAAATAAAATATTGTGTTCAGTGATGAACTCCTATTCCAAAAGTAGTCTAATCAGGACCAAGTGAGGTATAAGTTTAGCATTCTACCTCCCCCCCCAAACCTAGTTCAGGATACCACTTCTGTTGATGTAGTCTAAAAAACCCCAAAACATTAGCCTTTTTTGGCATCATTGTTGATTCTGTTTTTACATGTGAAGATGGTACCTATGTACTTGCCGAGGTCCCAGGTGATATTTGAGGTGCTGTAGTATCTGAATAGTAGGCTATTTAGCCTACACCTGACTGGTGTTTTGGTTTGTGCAAGCCTATAGAAAAGCAGGCTGTGACTTAATTCATTAATTAATCTTCGAGGGGGTGTAGTACATAATTTGGCGGCTGGATTGTGCTGCAGTCAAACCACAGGCAAGCAGATGCATCAGAGGGCATCCAATGAACATGTGGGGACTTCCCCAAAGGCTGTAATACCTCCATTACTCACCAGAGGGCGCTTGCCTACAAGCTCATGGACTTCTCATTCCATTGCTCAAGGCTATGACTCCTGGCCTCCAATCTATATTGATCTAGGCATATGAAAATGAAATATCTCAGTGAATTATGGAAATCTCTATATGGCTCTACTCCAACCCCCAAGTGTCGGGAAAAGTTCCCCGTCTACCAGCCTCATTCATAAGCCATAAGTGGTCATACGGTTTATTAAAACCCAATAAAGTGAATAAAAAAATGATCAAGAAAGAGGCAAGCCTGATCATCTTCCTCCAATCCTCCTTCAGGCTGGTAGATAATGGGAAAGAATAAGGATTCCTGTTTGGAACCCACTAGGAACAGCTCTGCAAATAATCAGGGAAGAAAACAAGGGAAGGGGGATAGAATGTGAGAGGGGAGTCTCCTGGCTCCAGTGGTGAAAGTTTCATGGCAGCTGCTGATCCAGACCTGCTTTGTCTCTGCCACTAAGATTGGCGATCTATCTTGTCACCCCTTTGTCTTATACTTGGGCTCCAGCTCTGCCTCAGTCACCCCAGCTCTCTTGGATCTATTTCAGCTCTGCCTTCCTCCAGCTCTGTAATTTATAACACTCTCCCTCTCTGCCCACTCAAAAACCTTCACGGTGTCCCCCTGCCTTCAAGAAAAAAAAAGGTACAAACTCCTGTGGCAGTTGGAAAAATCTCTGGACTCAGGGGCCCAGCCATTCTTGCAACCAGATGTCTCTGTTCTGGACATGCCCTTTCCTCCTGCCTGGCACCTTTGCCCTTCTCCTTCTTTGGAATTCTCCTTTCTCTGAAAACTTCCTTGCTTCCTAGCACCTTTATGCCTATGGCATCAGAAGGACATAAGTAATCAGATGAGGCTAAGTGAGAACCCAGTTCTGCCTATAAGTACCTGCCTTTGCAATCAGAGAGCAGCCATGTTGTGAGGGACAACCCAAGTGGACCTACACCCAACTGGGATGAGCGGCTAGAGCCTGGCATGACCTGAGTTGGGAAGGAACCTCTTACATGATAATTGGTCCCCTTCATATCCTGCTGTTGTCTCAAGATGGTTCCACCCAAGCCCCAAACTCCCTCATTGACTAATGATGAGTGACTGGCATCTCACATGAGTGAGTGACATCCTCCTGGACTTTCCTGGGCTGCTGCCTGTTGCTTCTGCCCCAGTATCTTAGCAGTTTCCCCCTCCTCCTCTGTTTTGATCAGAGGCCCAGACCAGAAAATTTCCTGCCAAGCCTTATTCCTGGATCTCTTCAAAGACAATGGGCCCCTCGCCAGGAGTCCATCCCACTAGCATCATCAGCCCTGATCCAGCTGACTAAGCACTATCAGTATGCTGTGATCGCTTTGTGAACTTTGTGGGTGGAAGTGAGGGAGGGGATTTCAGCATCAAGTTGAATTTGTTTTTTCTTCTTTTTTTCTGGATCATGGAAAAACTATGAGATGCTCTCTTCTGGGAACCATTTCATCTCCTCCCCCTCGGGAAGGAAAAGAAGTACAGCAGTTACTTAGCAATTAATGGGAATGTGGGAGGATCATTGCCAAAAACTAGAACAGAATTTAATTCAGCATTTATTATACTGCTGCTAACAATGAGAGTAGTTCATGCTTCCCTAGCATTTTCCTCATGACTTTTCAACAGAAGCAGCACAAGCATTATTACTTCCAGATGAGAAAACTGTGACTTAAAGAGGTGACTTGTCCAGGGTCACACCAGCAACAAGTATCAGAGCTACTCTTGCCTGATCCCAGAGCTCTGTCCACCAAAGATGCCAGTGATGGCAGCTTAGTAACATGAGCAGAGCACCAGCACCATAGTGCCTATCATCCCATCAGGAGACATCCTGCTCAGTCAGTAAGGATCCTGGGAGGGGCAGGTAGGTGGTGCAGTGGATAGAGCACCGGCCCAGGATTTAGGAGGACCTGAGTTCAAATTTGGCCTTAGACACATGACACTTACGAGCTGTGTGACCCTGGGCAAGTCACTTAATTCCATTGCCTATCCAAAAAAAAAAAAAAGGACCCTGGTATTGTAGAATGGATTTGTAAACTTGGGTGAGAAAGGGGAGGGAGGCAAATCCTCAAATGTGTATGTGGGGGGGGGGCAAGGTTCAAAGCCCCTTGCCTCTCCTGCTTCAAGCACTTTCCCCACAACAGTCCTTTTAAAGGGATAGTGCATTTTACCAATGAGAGAGAGAACTCTGGGAGCTAACAGAGAAACTTATGAGTTAGATAGGGCATTTTACCAATTTAAGAGGCAGCTAGGTGGCTCAGTGGATAGAGTACCAGGCCCGGAGTCAGCAAGACCAG